TGCATAGGATTGCTCCATCAACAATCACAGTTCTTGGAGTGCCAGTCTTTCTGTAGCCAAAATAGCACTACCAGTGCCCAAGGGGGACTAGCATGCTTTGATGAACCCAAGATGTTAGGACCCTACCCTCAAAAAGCAGCCCAGACGAACAGACTGTTCAGTGGAAATGGAATGCTGTCTCTTTTGCTCCTTTGTATGTTTGGGGAGAGGGGGGAAATGACCAAAAACTGAGGGTGCCCATCTTGGAATGGAGTGAAGTGACTGGAACCCTGAAATGAGGTACTGTAGACTGCAACTTTTTAAAATTAATTTTGCAGATTATATTTGTAAACTTCCTCTTTTAAATTAGCAAGCTAGTGCCTCTTCCCCTACTTCCTTAAAAATCAAGATAGAGAACAAAGATGAAGTCTTAGTCATTGTTGTGATTTAATTGATATCATAAGCAAAGTCATGCATATTAAGGCAGTAGAAACAAATCCCCGAACACTGGCATCTACACAAAGCACACTCGTTATGTCCCTCTAGACACTCCACTGGCTTGGCTTGGGTTCATGCTGAACTAAATGGAAACATGCTTGTTCCTCTCCCAGACAGCAATTACCACTGTGCCAGGTTTGATACATTAACAACAAGCTTGCCTTTTCTGTTCAGCTAATTTAAAATATTGTTACTGTTCAATGACCAAAGTATCTGTAGGTGTGCAGAAAGGAGGACAATAACAGCATTAAGAGAAGAACTCCATTATAGTCTTTTTAGTGGTTCGGTTTCAGGATTTGTCCATCTTAAAGGGCAGGCCAATGTTTATTGACTCAGAGGGAAGTCCCACAGAGTTCACGGGGTCCTACTCTCAGTGCAATGTGAGTAATAGGATAATCCACAGGGCTCACAAAGTGCTTGAGCAACAGTTCTTACCAGAGACTTGGGATCTTTTCAGCTGGAAGTGGTGGGGGCTGAGCCTACAAGTTCTTGCATGCAGTTAGTTGCTCCACCACTGGGCTAAGACTCATTTTGAAGCTAGGAAATTCCAATTTCTGGATCTCCTTCTGGATGGCTTCTGGTCCCCCATCATGATTGCAAGGGGTCAGGAACAGAATCTGGCAATGGGGCTCTGCACCAGAGCTCTTTCAATTTCCTAGCATTTGTGCAAAGTGCAATTGACCACCGGCGGGCACATGTTGACACGCTCCACTCAGGTATTGGATATACTGTGATCCTGTGTCACACGCAACTACAATTGCAGGAGAAGCAGAGTGGGTTGGGGAAGGGGTGCGGGGCCAAGGTGTCAGCTACATGCAAGTTTGAAGGAGCAAAGGATGCTAAGAGAGAGGACTCTCCCGCACCTCAAAAAATGTAAGGAGAAAGGGATGAGGAGAGGGAGGATTCAGTGCTGCCCGCAGTCATTCTCGCAACTCCTGTGGGGCAAAATCTATTCCCCACTATACAAAAGCAATTCCTGAAACCAACTGTAGCCCCTTCCCCATTCAGACCAAGTCCATGTGATTTACTTCTGAGGAGGGCATGCTTTTAACCCATTACACTTTTCAGAGAGAGGGAGGGAGGGAGGGAGGGAGAGCAGAACTGCATTTAATCTCTAACGTACTGGGAAAGCCAGAGAAAGCAAGAAGCCTTTGGTGGGCAAGAGAGAGGCAAGAAAGCAACTGAAGGCTGATCTAGATCACCTCCTTTGAGTTGCAGCAGATAGAAGATAGAATAGCGGAAATTGCACAAGGAGGGTTGTTTGGTCTGTGCAGTGTGACACACCAGTGAGACAAGCATTACCATGCTGGTAAAAATGCTAAAGAATCTGCTCAATTTCTGGGAAAGGGAAGACAAATGTGGAATCTTTTACTCCATGTTCTCACTGATCTTGTTTCAGCAGAACACAGCTGAGAATATCCATCTGTAGGACACCAGGTTGTCTCAATCTGCAATAGGATATAAGGAATGAGGGCAGGTCAGTCTTATAAGCTTACAGCCACCGAGGACAAGCCGTCATGAGTCTGAGGTGGCGGCTTCCAACAGCAGATCGTTAGCCCCTCAGCCGATTTATACATTATGGATTAACCTGCATGGAGGCTGCCATTTCTCCCATGCATATGCCTGGTCCCACAGCCCCTGCTAACCCAGTTCTCATGACACAGCCTAGGACAAGCTGGGTGAATGCAAACACCAGGCAAAAATGGAATCTATTTGCCTAGTAAATTTTGATGGGCCTTTAGTTGTACAATTATGGCATTTTTACAGGTAGGTGGCTGTGTTTGTGAAGTTGTCCGCTTGATGTACCATATTAACTTGGCTGCAATGGGTAGAATATATCCATCCAAGTCACTGCTTTTCCTTCATTAAACAGTTCTGTCTATATAGATCACAGCTTTCCTCAGACCAAACCTGAATTGAACTTGAGAGAGAGTGTTGATCTGAGGGACTTAAGACCTTCTGCAGGAACTTACCTGTTTTGGGGCATTTGGTGCAGAGAAAGCCCACTTAAACCCAAGTATCCTTAAGGCTGCACAAATGAAGCATAGTCGGCTTGTGCTGTCCGCATCACTTGCCACTGCCTTGGTACTGGGAAGGAGGAGGGGCTGTGGAGGGATTCCAGTTTCATTTGGGGCCCAGTCTTTTCCCTACACCACCAGTTAGACTGAAGCCTTAAGAACATGAGCCATGGGAGTGATAGGAGAGCACTCTTAAGCGATTAGCAGAAAATCTTGATGATGTGGAAGACAACTCTGACTTGAAGCTTATTCATGTAGGCATTTGTAAATGGGTGTCCTGCAACAGCAGGGCTTGGACCCAGTGGCCTTCATGGCACCTTCCAACTCTACTAATCTATGATCTGAAGAGAGAAGGAAGGTGGAGAGAGAGGAGATAGCCATGGAGGTAGGATTAATCCCAGCCGGAACTTGTGTGTGTGTAGAGTGCAATTCTATGCACCATTAGGCTGCACCTATTCTAATTAACCTATTGTTAATCTAATGGACAGCCAAAGTGGGGGTGGGGGGGGCATTCAATTGCAGTTGTGAGTTTTTGGGGTGTCCAACCCATACAAAAACCCAAGAACACTACTTCTTTGTGTATGCTTTCAATTAAACGGATTTCAATACTTTTATCCAGAATACTTTTATTATATGGATCATCCTATACAATGGCATTTTGATAATGGGGAAACATTTACAAACGGGGGAGGGGATGCGGTTGTAGGACTTCTATTATTCTCTCCCTCCCCCCACCATGCACGCTGCACCTCACACTCATTTCAAAAGGTTGCTACCGAATACAGAGAGGTTATTGCTTTTGTCAACGCACCACAGATCAGATATAAATCTTCAGTGGCAAGAATAGAGGATGTTTCATCCTTTCTTTGTAAAAAGTCTTTTAAATATCCAGCTTAAAACAAAACTGTACATAGCCTAGTAGTGTATTGAGCGTACCCATTACCTTTCAGGGAGCAGGGAGGAGACTTTAAAATTTAAAGTCTATTTAATAAAAAAAGTATTAAAATGTTCACCATTATGTACAAATCCCATTAAATTACACATAAATAAATATATACATTCAACACATTGTTTTCCCTTATACACATAAAACCTCCCTGGATATATATATATATATATTTATTTATTTATATATATAATATTTGGCCTATATAGGCAGAAAATAATTAAAAATTATGTGCCTATTTTTTCAAGTTTTTTCCTATTTTAAAAAACACAAGACCTGATGATGCGTATAAAGCTGCAACAGCCTGGCTTTTTTTTTTCCTTCCTTTTTTTAACTGGATGGAAGTTTCTACTTTTTCATTTTTAGTTTTAGCTTGAATTAATTTCTCCTTGTGAAAAAAAGCTCTGTTACACCATACTTTAGTGCTTGCTGCCTCCCTTTGCATCAATCATGCAGAAACCACACTGACATGAGAGACTATGTCCAGAAGTCTGAATAAAAAAGTGAGGCCAAGCTGACAAATTCCAACCTTCCGAACCCTGGCATTCGCCCGAGTAGAACATCATCCCCAGCTGAAGGGAGCTGTGATCAACACATTTGGGTGGTAGCTGAGCTGGGGAAGTCCACAGTATTGCGTGTCCTACGAGGCTCAGTCTCAAGCTGTTCCGTTGGAGACTATGAATCTGGGTGACTGGTCAGGAATGCTGACACAGCCTGGGGTTAACACTGTTGTTTTCCAGAGACCTATAAGCTTCTCAGAACCTGGAGAGCTCTCCCATGGTAAGGTCTGTTAGAGCATGACCTAGTCCTCTTGCAGACTCCGGCATCCCAGGGGGCTCACGGAGTTTCTTAGTGCCCACTCTCCCCCTGGGTACATGACCGCACACTCTGAACAGTGCATGGACTAATAAGCCAACACATACCCCCCCCCCCCCCCGAGAGGGCCTTGCTACAAAAGCAGCCTGCATTTGGCCTATTGCAGACATGACATGAAACCACTTTAATGAGCTTGTTCTTTGTCTGTGCGCCTCCCCATCCCAGCTGACCCTGCAGCTGAGCAGCAGGGAGAAAAAAAGATTGAAAATATCTGACTCCTGTTTAACTATCTGGAAAGGATACACTATGATTAGCGTGAACTGTGATTCATTGAAACAAGCCAGGATTAAACCTTGGTTTAATGAGCCAAGTTTTTTTAATAACCATAATTTCAATAACCCATGATTTGTTCCTTTTCAGACACAACCCTGGCTAGTGGCGCATAGGAAGGAGCTTATTTCCAACTATCTTCCCACGGTTGCACAAGAGAAAAGGGAGTGTAAAGCCTGAGGCTTGAGAAGCACTCATGCACATAGCTCTAGAACATGGATGGACAACATGCAGTCTCTGCCACTCTATCCCTTGGCGGGTGTTCAAGGATAGGCTGGACGTCCACATGGTGGGCATGTCGTGAGCGGAGCCGGCTGGCGCCGGAGGTCAGACTAGATGGCCCGGGAGACCCCTTCTGACTCGCTCTGTTTTCTATGTTTCTATCCCCACAAATCAGAGGCGGCCGGGGAAAGGCATGCGTAGCAATTACGGGATGCAAGCTAAATTTGACCCTTTCATTGTTCTGCAGTGGTTACAGAGTAACCAAAGCATTACATATACTCTCCATGGACAACATTTTTAAAAAGATATTTTATTATTCATTCATATCCAGCCTCTGGGGAGGTGACCTACGAAAGGAGAAGTACAGGAGGCAAAAGAGGGCCTCTGTTTGAATGCGTCATGCCTATGAAAAGCCCAAAGGGTCAATGTTAGCCTGCCTGCAGGATGTGTTTGACCCTTTTAGTGCTCCGTAAAGGGCACAGAGCCACCAAAAGGAAAATTCATCCATTATGGACACAAATTTTCCAGAAGATTCGATTTTTAAAATTATTTCTTTTATTCATTTATGTATGGCCCACTAAAGGAAGGCGACAAGGGTAAAATGCCCACTGAAGAATTTCAGTTTGGCAGGAAAAGCATCCATACTGACTATGAATTGCCCAAAGGTGTGAAAATAGCTTGCCTGCAAGCTAGATTTGGCCCTTTGGATGCTCCGTAGTAGGTATGAAGTGAACAAAAATTCAGATTTAGCCACTATGGGCACCCTTTTAAAAATATTTATTTTTGGGATGGAGGGGTGCAGCCTACAGAGGGAGGGTGCCCATGGGCCAGTGGACCTTTGCACTTGCCCACTCCCACGCTAGATTAACGGTTTAGAGTTGAGTCTCAGTCGAGCCAAGGTACCCAAGAGGAAAGGACGGATCTTGCCCAGGTATCTAGAAACAGCACGTAACAGACTTCCATGCAATAAAAAATAGCACCAGTTTTTAGTGTTTAAAGATAGTTGCACCCATGTTACCTTCTGGTACTTGGTCCCACAATTTCTGCATAGAAGCAGCTTTCAAGAAGAGAGGGGGGGGGAACCCAACATGTGTATCTCATGAAGGATCCAAAAATGTACGCTTGAAAAATAAACACACCTCAAAGCAAATTGTAACAGATATCTACATGCCCTCCTGGCAAGAAGATCTTAAGTCTGTGTGTGAGAACGGCTTTAGGAAGCTTCCCTCCTGTCTGTCTGTCTGGCTGTCTGTCTGTCTGTCTGTCTCTCACTTCCGATGCTTGTCCATCTTCTCAATGCTTTTATTGGTTTCTGCCGGGCTCTGTTCCCCTGCATTCATGTAGCTTTTGTCCGCGATTTTGAGCGCTTCGTTCAGGTAGTTCTGGACAGATGTCATGGCAGCACAGATTGCAGCACTTCCAAAGCCGTGCGTGATGAGGCTGAAGTGAGTCAAGCAGCCTTGGATGCCAGGGTCCAAAATCGGGCTTGGCCTTGTGTTACCAAGAGGGGTTCGGTCCTGGGTGAGGAGCTCGGTGAATTCTTTACAGATCTGTCTGCAAAAGACACACAGACGCATGTCACCAGAAGAGGCATCAGCAACAGTACACCAATCGGAAAAAGCGGCCCTTCACCTGTACTTCAGGAAGAGGGAAGTTCTGGTCCAAGGGCCAGTTCCAGGCATCTGGGATTCCCCCACCTCCTTCCCACCAAACAAAGATCCATTTGGTAGTTTCCTGACTTTTGTGTCTTTCCCCCTTCATTTGAAAAGTCTGAAATGCCTCTCCCAAGGCTTAGCTATTGATAGCAAGGAGCTTTCAGCTAAATATGCTGCCTTTTTTTTTTTTTTTTGCTCCATCCCTTTTGCTTTTGGCACCACCCACCACTGAAGTGCAGTCAGTTCCCCAAGAGTTCTTCCCAAATAAGATTTGGCCCCCAGCCTTCTCCATCCCCACTCTCCAGAGATATACAACTAGCTTAATGAGTGAGGGGATCACAACCAGTGGTGCAAAACAGAATGGCCCAGCATTTCTGCCCCCAAAATACCCCCCAGGAGAAATGTTTCATGCACACACGCACGTGCGTGCGCACACCCTTAAATATTGCAGCCAGACAGGTGTAGGCAGAGGTTTGGAGCAATGCTTGCGTGAGCAAATAATCGATAAGTAGCTGCCCACCCCGTTTTCTGCTTAGAACATCCATGGGAGTAGGTAGTGCCAGACCAGTTGTCCCTAGAGCCAAGGAGTATTCACAGTGACGACCAGCTGTTTTTCAATGTTGAAGACAGGGGACTTTTCCAGATGTGCCTAGAGACACCGGGGATGGAATGCCTGGGTGCCAACGCCCATAGGCATGGTTCACAGAGACCAAACTGTGCACTCAAACCTTCTGCATGCAAAATGTGGGTTCCACCACCAACGTAGAGGACTTCCACATGGGAATTGGACCCACAGCCTTGACATTACCTGCATCACGGCCTGACCAACTGAGCCACTTGTACAATTGACCTGCCTGGTGTACTCGGAACGTAAGTTGCCTCGTACTAGGTCATCCCAACGGTCCAGTTATGAACCACTCTAATGGCCTATTTATGCTTGCTCTAACAGGCAAGACCCTCTCCGGGACCTCAGGCAGAGATGGCACCATCACCCCAATCCTGATCCTTCTAAGTGGAGAAGTCTGTGCTCCGTCACTGAGACTGGGTCTCAGGAGAGCAATGTGCTGGCACAAGCGCACCCAGCAACCATCATCCTGAAGGAAGAATCAGCCTGGGATCTCTCCTGTCTCCGGATGTGCTGAATCAGGCTTGCTCTCGATCGGAGACATAAATATGCCCCCACTGCCCTGTGGCAAGGTAGTCCAGATTCTACAATGACAAAATGGAAAAATGTAGACCAGGACAAGCCATGAATTAAAACAGATCTCTGTGGTCTTTCTGGATTATTGCCTGATTACAAAAATCTGGCCAGTTTCCCCCTCCCCCTTAAACATAGTTTATTGATTAATCAAATCTGCATCCAGAAAAAGGCCTTTTAAAAAAGCATTTTCAGGGGATGACTATGTCGGCTGGAGCTAGCAAAGATCACAGGAAAGCCTCAGCCGTGTGGCAGTTTTGCTTCCTGTGTGAAAGACACAACAGAATGACCCTTTTGAGATGGCGCTTCCAAAAGTGCGTGTTCAAAAAAAGGTCAACCAAATAAAAACCTGCTAGTAGATTAACCAGGGCTACTTTTTAGTGTATCCCAATGGGATTATTTAGTATAATCAGCAACACACTGTAGCTCCAGTTTGCAGTAGGGGAGGGGGGAGTGCAGAAGGAAGAACAAGGCTGAAGGCCTTTGGCACAGCTGCTTTAAGTCTGGAACAAAACAACCTACCCAGTCCAGGGAAGGAGGGTGGAGGAACTGCTTGCTCCCCAAGTTTTGCCACACCCAAGCTGGCAAGGTAGAACATAGGGAAGAGGCATTCTTCTTTTCGGTGCCCTTAAAAAAAAAAAAAAACTACCCCCCTTCCATTTCTCCCAATGGGAGGGAAAGAAACTTTAAAGACTGGCGTTCATGGAAGGTATGGTTGGGCACTGGCTGAGGCCCCTCACCCAAACAATGGCCCAGTGACACAAACTCTATAGACTCACTCCTCCTCTGTGACCAGTTTCCCCCAGCCATCCTCCTGTTCTGGCCCAGACAATGGGAGATGAGAAAGAGGGGCAGACAGTACCACGCCTGCTTGCTCACGGGCCCTCTGGCTATGAAGCAAGCAAGGTGTAGCGAGGAAAAGTGATGCGTAGCAACAGCAGCTGGTGGTGAGAAGAAGGGGGGCTAGGAGGATGTCTCCGAAACCTGGAGCCAGCACCAAAGCCAAGCCACGTCCAGGCTGGGAAGAATTTCGTCCCATTCTAAGGGGGAAACGGAAGGCTCTAGATCCTGAAGACTGGAAGCACTTCTTCATGCATCCCTGGATGGCTTTTGTTTTGCCCTCTCTACCGAAATTCCACTGGTGGAGGGTAAGTAGAATGCTTGCAGCACAGAGGAAGCTTCTGTCTCTGTGAGCTAGGAAGGGAACTGCAAAATTTTGAAGCCTGGGGACACCACCAGGGAACCAGAGGGCTGCATGCCATTTTGCCTTCAAAGGAACGGAGGGTTGCTTCTGCAGGGCTCAATCCAATGTTACTCCTACATTAGGAGTAGGTTCATTGAAAAGAATGGAACTTGAGCTAGACTAATGCCCACTCTCCTCACTTTCATTTTATTCTCTAGTGGGGAGGGCAGGGGAGGGCAGGGAAAAAACAGATCCTTGACGGGGGTGAAAGAAAGGGAGGGAATATTGTGCAGTAGCAACAGAAAAGCAACACCCACCATTAATGAACAAAATTGCATTGCAATTTTTCAATAGACTGTTTTAAAAGATCCATAACCCTAGTTATCTATAGTATGTATTCCTATATATTAGCATGTAACAGAACATACAACTATTATTCAAATGCAGCAAAACCCCCACATTCACTGTTTCAGTTACTGCGGTTTCACTTAACCATGGCTGACCATAGTCCAAAAATGAGATGCAATGCAGTGCAGTGCAGCCTACTCGATTTCATGAGCCTTGTGCACACAGGGAGGGATGAGCGGCAGCTGGGAAGGGGAGTGTTCCCCATGCAGATGTTTCCTCTCATCCCCCGCCCCATCCATCCATGCACAGCACATTAGGGTGCAAAACTCCAATATTGTCCAGGCAGCATGACAGTGGAACCAGTTGCCTAGAGAGGTGGTGGGCTCTCCCACACTAGAGACATTCAGAAAGAAACTGGACAGCCATCTGAGCGGGATGGTGTAAATTAGTGTCCTGCAACAGCAGGGGGCTGGACCCATGGCCTTCATGGCCCCTTCCAACTCTACTATGCTATGATTCTATGAAACATTTTTCTCATGATCCCCTGCATAATAATAAAGCACTCCACTTATCAGGAAATGTGGGTGCTCCAGTTCACAACAGTATTTTTAGTTAAGAGCCCATGTAACATATTTATGGACAAAAAATGTAAGCCGATGTAACTGTTTCATCTGAACCAATGCTTTCCATGTACAGACACCCCCGAAGCTGCAAAAACAGCAGGACCAAATCTGTTTTCTAACAAATGTTTCAATGGCACATCTTGCCAGGCAGCAGAAATTTAGCACACCAAGTAGTAAATGACAGAAAATTAGCCTTGGGACTAACAAACAGATCCAAAGTAAAAATCAGCCTGTCTCTCCAAGTCTGACAAACAAAAGTTCTTTGCCAATTTTTAAAACCTGGATTCCCCCATAAAGTTAACCGCGTATGAGGAAATATATCAGACTACAGCTCATGTGAAAATATTCGCCGTAGCAGTCTAGCTGCCACTTGGTACAGGAAGAGTCCAGTGCAATCCACTTGGGAAGAGGATCCAGAAAAGAAGATTCCAGAACTGACCGGGGAAAGGCACCTAATCTATGCACCAAAGACCACAGTCTAGTACAAGCCAATAAATGGCCTGATGGTACAAGGAAAGGTCAGGAAGACCTAATCCACCCTCTTTGATCAAAACTGCATCCTTTTGGGGATGTGTGTGATAAGAAAGAAAACCCTTAAATGTATGAAGCAAATCATTAAGCTTCTAGAAATATTTGCCAAATATAAATGAATACTATGCAAAACAAACAATTTGAGGTATAACATTCATTTTGATGCATATTTACTCTAGTCAATAGACTTTCTGTAAATGCCCATCTGTCAATGTCCCTTGAGACCTCATTAATTAACTTATTCAAATTAAACTTAATACTTTGTGATATGTTTCTTGGGACAAAAATAGCCACAGCACACAATCTAAATTGTCAGTTGGCTAACACACTGTGTGGTGTGTCCTCTCTAACAGACATGAATTCCAGCTTTGACAAGTTAAATAGACTAACCAGATAACTGTGCAAAACTGTTAAGCATCTGCACCAAACCAGAACAGAAGAATGGAATTGCAAAATAAACAATAGAAGATCATTAGCACAGAGAATAAATTTATATTCTAATGCATTGTGCCCAAATCCAGGAAAACTAGAATCTTTCGAACAGCACACACCAGAGTTTCCAAACATAAATTGAATATCAATGGAAAAGTAGGAGATCCCTTCATAGTGCCTCTCTCTCAAGACAAAAGCAGAAAACAAAACTCAAGACAAACCACCAAAACTCCAGACAAACCTCTCTCAAGACAAAAGCAGAAAACAAAACTCAAGACAAACCACCACTGGGCCTAACTCTGGCTCTAGGAGCTCTGTATACAATTTTAACTCATTTCTAAAATTCTGGAGGAAATTTACAATTTCTCAGTGTGGTAAAGATCAGTTCTGAATACATTCTATCAAAGGTTTCCTTTGCATTCAGAGATAATGCCAGCTGTATCCGTTCTATTCTTATTTAATGCAATCAGATCCACAAGGGGATGTACCCAAGAGGCTCTGAATGTTCCACAGTTAGGAAAAAAACCCCACAGGGATCACTGGGATTTGTGCCATTATGCAAGAGGCACATAGTACCTATTGAACTCAAAACATTTCCCAAGATACAATTAAAATGAAAAGCCACTTAACTTCCTCCCGTTGACTTTTTAAGCACCACTTTCAAATAACCACTTTTCTATCCAGCTGCAAATGAAAAAACACGCAACACTCTTTTGTTCAGAAAAGGCTGTAATCCTCATAAGAGCTAACATACAATGCAGTGAGACGGCACAGTTGCCCTCAAAATTTCTTCCTGAGTATCTCCTCCGATACTCAAAGAGTATCTCAAAGTTCACTTTGATGAAAATTTCACCAGCAGATTCAGTGAACATAAATAAAACAAGCTGAACCCCAAAGTGGCCACAAAAAAAATTAATGTGATGTGTTAGACTACAACTCCCAGATTCCCCCAGCCAGGAGATTATGGGAGCTGTAGTTCAACCCATCCTGAGACGGCCACAATACAGAAGGCAGAGTTATATAGAGTATCTCAAAGTTCACTTTGATGAAAATTTCACCAGCAGATTCAGTGAACATAAATAAAACAAGCTGAACCCCAAAGTGGCCACAAAAAAAATTAATGTGATGTGTTAGACTACAACTCCCAGATTCCCCCAGCCAGGAGATTATGGGAGCTGTAGTTCAACCCATCCTGAGACGGCCACAATACAGAAGGCAGAGTTATATAGAATATCAGGGTCTATCCAACATCTTTGGTTTCTTCAACAAAATAACTAAACCCATAGAACAGTTCAATTTTACAAAAATCCTGAGACAAAACCACAGAAAACCCAAAAAGCAGACTTTTGATATAGAAAATGGGAAGAGCAGCATTTTGCTTGAGGGTAAATTTGCTGCTTTAAAAAGCACTACATGATCCATGTTTAGGTAGCTCTTCAACTTCAGCCTAAGCAAGAGAGTCGTCCAACTGGCTCTTTATTACTGGGTTCTGTAATCATGGGGACCCAATCTGCTCTTCACCGAGCAGTTGAGCATTGAATGTTGTTAAATACCAGGCTGTTGAGACATACTGTTCTGAATCCAGCTGAGATAACAAACCATGGGGAACAACCCACCGTTCCTGGGTCAACAACAGACCATGGGTTGTTCATGGCTTGTTAGCATAGTGGGATCAGACAACAGAATGACCAGTAATAACCCACAGTTCAACAACAGCCTACACTCAATCCATAGTCAGCCTTTGAGTATGATTTCTTGTGTTGTCTGAACCCAGTCATTCTGATCAGATCCATTCAGCATCTTTGGGAACCCATGCTTCTATTGTTATCTTCAAAAGGAAGTCACCAGTCCTTTCAGCTGCCGAGCTAAGTTTGAAAGCATTGCTCAATTCCTTATGCAATGTAAAAAGGTCACTCTGCTTTGCACAATCCACATTGCAGAGTTTGGCTTTTCCAGATGGCATGCAGGTCACAACTTAACTTCTAATTTGGGGGCTGGGAGAAGAAACGTATCCCACAGGCTGTAGATTTTGGGAGAGGCTGTACCACGACCACCTGTGGTCGCTCCTTACTCCCCACATTAATTGAGAACCCAGGCCCTGGCCCAGAACTCAGCTCTAATTTGCAGGTAGTATTTTGCATTCACATGTCCTTGGTGTGCCCACTTAAGAGCTGCTGCTCTCTAAATTACAAAAGCAAGAGAAGAATTTCCTAGAAGAAAGGAATATAAGAACTCTCTGTCTCAAAACAGCAGTCCCCTTGGATCAGAAACATGTCACAGTCACTTTATTGTTGTTACTGAAACTCACTGGGCAAAAGTCAAATAACTAAATAAATAAGCCTCATTTGGATTGTGGTAAAGGGACACACTCAACAGTTGAGAGTTGGCCCATCCAGGCCCAGGATCATTTTGGTTCTCCTGCTGAAGATGTGCAGACACAAGCAACAGAGATATTTCCGTGCAATCTTATCAGATGCCAACCTCCCAAACTTAAGCACCAAGTGGAAGTTTGCCAACTTTAAATGTTTCTAAAGTTCTGGTATAGATTGCTCCTTACTCCCCAAATTAATTTGAGAGCCCAGGCCTTGGCTCTGGCCCAGACCTCGGCTTTAGTTTGCAGGCTAGTGCTCTGCATTCATGACATGTCCTTGGTGTGTCCACTTCTTAAAAGGAGGTTCTGGGAGCCGGTGATGGGAAAAAACAAGTTCCCCTTGTTATGGTGCTTGGGCAGGAGCTGATCACCGGATGCCAGGCAGACAGAAAACTCAAGAGCTTTGCCCTTTTTGCAGCTCTTGCTTTACCTAGGAACTCTGTATACCACTGTCAGAAGCAGCATCTGTTTTATATTGTCTCTCTGAAAAACCACCATGAACTTTTGTTTTTAAAAAAAACAAAGAACAAAGAGGGAAGTAAGATCTCCTTAAGTATTATGCTTAAGTCCCATACATATTTCAACAAAAAAAAAAAAAAAAAAGACACGGAAACATAGAAACAGAGTGGGTCAGAGGGGTCTCCCGGGCTATCTAGTCTGACCTCCAGCTCCAGCTGGCTCTATCATGACATGCAGACAGACAGAATGAGCCCACCATCTGTTTCACAAACCAGGATGTACTATAGCTCAAGGGCCAAGAGACTAATCCAAGAACCAGACGTTTCCTCCTCAAACCTCACCTTCACAATGAGAAGCAGAACGAGGCTCAAACTGCCCTGGGATGGCAGCTACAAGTCACTGCAGAAATATTTCCCATAATGCTCCAGAGCAACACTACTGTGGGCACTCCAGGGCATTGTGGGAATTATAATAGGGTGACCCCTCAGAGGCTGTTGCTACCACACAGTAAGCCCTAACCCTCACTGGCCACTACATTAAACTTCCCACCATGACCAAACCTGGAGCCAGAGTAGCCTAAAGCCAGCAGAAAGCCTTAAGTAAGCCTCAGAATTGCTCCTGTCCTGAAATCTACCATATTTATGGAATCAGCAGTCCTTAAATTTGTCTCCTTAGGATTATTGAGGAAAGTTGTTTAAGCATTAGGACATCTTAGGGGTGCTATGCAAACACGCACAGATTATTCTACAGCAAAGAGACTCCTGTTTAGACAAAATACCTACTTTGCAGCAAGCAGCATGTTCTTCCTGGTGGCCATCTCATTGCGGCCCAGATGGGGTCGAGTCAAGTATTCAGCCACAGCTTTAGAAGGAAATTCAGTTTCACAGACGTAGCCAAAATCCCGGGCAAGGTGTACCGCTTCACCTGAAAATGGGACAAATGTAGGAAAAGAAAAAATTTGCTTACTTGATTCTTCCACAATTATGGTCTGCACAAGAACTTTGCACATGTTATTTCTCAGTGATAGATCTTATTAAGAGCATAACATCTAAAGTAAGCCACAACCTTGAATTTACAAGAGCTAAGCAGTGCTGCCAAGAACAGGACATTTCCAAGGGCGTTCATTCAACTTAATTTGGAGATGACTTGATGGCACAGAACAATGACAATTTTTTTTTTGCCAGTTATTTTTAAAATGCTACCAGATTTCTAAGGAGTAAATAGAGGAAACATTTTATGGAGACCATCTGATCACTTATATTATTATTATTATTATTATTATTATTATTAGAACATTTCTATGCCGCCCCTTGCCGAAGCCTATATCCAACCGTTGCAAATAGCTTGCTTGCTTGCTTGCTTGCTTGCTTGCTTGCTTGCTTGCTTGCTTGCTTTCTTTCTTTCTTTCTTTCTTTCTTTCTTTCTTTCTTTCTTTCTGGGAATCTGGAACTCTACTCTGTTATACTAGATATACAACAGAAGTACTGCTATAAAATATGTTATGATGTTTATATCCTGTCTTTATTCCTCTTGCAAGGAACCTTAAATGGTTCTGTATGGTCCTCCTCTTTGTTTTATCCTCTCAGCAAGCCTATGAGAGATGGATCACTGTGTCAACTTAGCCTAAGGGGACACTAGAACTGGGATCTTCTGGTTCCCAGTGCAACATTCTAACCTCTACACCGCACTGGCTGTCTAACATGGGTCTCCAAATCGTTTGTGGGCTAAATTCTGTCTTTTCAACAAATACTTCACATCTTCCCCCAGTGTTTCTGCTAGACAGTGAGTGAGGACAAAGATATTAATCTGTAGCAAGTACAGGTAATATATTTAGAAGTCAGACAGCAACTGAAACGACATGGATTACTCAGAATATCAGCTTCCATGTTCTTCATGCAGCCTGAAACAAACACTCCTCTAGGAATGAATGACACTTGTCAAAACACCTGGCGGATCAACTATTCCCTTTGATGGATTGATTCACCCAGAAATTCACCCAGCTCACATTCTAGGTACTGAAAAACCATAGGGTGTCAGTAGATTTGGCCCATTAAAAGTTCAGAGGATGAACACTGGGGGGAAAAAGGGGGTCACATGTGGAAGTTAATCACTTGACTGTACGAATGCAATACCACAGATCAAATACTACAAGTATTACTTTGAAAACAAACTTTTAAAAACTGTTTTCTGTGGAGGCAATTCATGAACTGATTTGACATTCAACAAACATCACCCGAACAAGCAATATTCATGCATTGTGAACTAGATCAGGGTATTCCAGTTTCTTAAGGGGGGGATGCTTAAAAATCCAACTGCAAATCTATTAATTCCTGACTTTACAGCTTAGTTGGGCTATAAATATGTAACCTGGTTTTTAAAATCTACTCTATTTTACTTATTTAAATCTAATTTTCTTTTAAAACTGTACTAATGAATCACTTTCATTTTGTTAATCTCTGTTTGTACTTACGCTTACCTTTCATTAAAATCATCCACCAACCAAAAAAAGAGAATTGAGCTAGGAAGTTATGTTTAGAAGTCATCCAGTCCAAATACTCATCAGCAGAAGATCTATTCTACAGGATGCAACTATGGTATTTCTAACAACAGTCAACGACTCTGCTTAAAAGAAACACCCATCACTGCCTTCAGCAGTTTGATCCAAGCCCAAATAGCTGTAGAGATTCCTGCTAATATTTATCAGAAGCTTGCCTTTCCTGCAATTTCCACCTTTTGGTTTTAGTTCTACCCTTTGGGGAAAGGAAGACCCTAGTTGTTCCATTCTTCTGCAAGATAGCCCTTCTAATACTTATCCGGAAACCATCCTTTGCCCTGAAAGTTATTAAAGACCGGTGGCAATTTATTATAAAATTGAAATAATTTATACAGTTATAAAAATTTATAAGAAATTGCTACTGCTCAATAGGGTTTGTAAGGATGTAGTTCCGTGCATCTTTTAGATAGGAAAACAGTCCTCTGGAACTGTAGGACTTCTGCCCTGCCCCATCTAAAAATGTATCAGATGGCATACTAAATTGGGAGTTTGATTTTACATTGGGCAATTTGTGGCTCTTTAAATGTTTTGACCTAGAACTCCCATAGTCCCTCAGCACTGACTAAGGATGATGGAAGCTGAAGGTTAAAGAATCTGATGGGCCACAAGCTGCCTCGCTCTTTTTTACAGGCTGCATTTAGTTAAAATTGTTTTAGGATGTCTTATGTTGCTCTGGGTACTTTTAAAGTAGAATTTAAAAGCAGAGATAAGCTCTGTGAACGAAATAGAGATCATTTCACACATTTAATGCAGCAATTCAAATTTGCTAGACGTTATACCCAGCAAGGGTCACAGCCAATCTCAACTGCCTGAAGAATGTGGCTATATTATGTTCATTTGCAAACACGGTACTTTATTTTTAGCATTCAGTTATAAATATTTTAAGACCATAGACTATAGGCCCCGTTTTTTGCCTCCAAGTTTCTTGCCAAATTCAAGTAGCAGTAACAACATCTAATACAAGCCCACAAATCAGAAAACTGGAACTAATTCCATTAGCATCCCATCTGGAAATCAGAACCTTTAAACTTCAGTTTAAAAATAAATAAATTAGGAAGAGTTCTGAGAATTCCACTGGGGAATCATTCATCACTGCAGTTGGCTGCTCCAGGGCATTTAGATCTCTCCGTTCCCAAGTAAGCTTTCGGAACGAGTTCTCCTGTTTTGGACTCGTCTGTATGTCTTTAGTCGGGGAGATCTCATTAGTAATTTTAGACCTCTCTTCCCAGCTTTTAATAGCTGCTTTTAGCAATGTTTCATCTCTGCACAGAGCTTTTAAAAAATTACACACCAGGACAACAGTTTCTAAACTGCCTGGTTGGGTACACATATGCCCAGAGACAATAAAAAAGACAACAAAATATGTTAGTTGAATGATGGAACGGTTCCTGCTATCCCACTGGAGAGGCTTCAAACAGTCTGTTTCAAACAATCCTGTAACTTGTACAGAGAACAGTGGTGCAGCAAAGTCCACTTCCACCATAACAGCGGGGTTCACTGGACTCAAACATGGCCCCAGTTATAGTTGGAGGCGAAGGTTGCCAGTGCGCCTCAGCCATCGAAGCTTTGAGAAATGCAGCTGCACCCCAGCTTCCCACAGAATGGCACCCTCCAGGTTCTTTACTACATCTGCCATCAGCCTCAGCCATCACTGCCAAATGAATGATCAGGGATGATGGGAGGTGTAGTACAAAACATCTGGAGAACCACATTGAGGAAGGCTTCTTCCATGAGCACAAACTGAGAAAAGCTTCCATGAATGCAAAATTCACATCAGCACAGAGCAGTTCCTCATTCACAAGAGAACTGCATGGAGGTAATACAGGTATCGTCAGGTACATCACCCAAGAGCTTTGTCTATGGAATGGTATAGAAATGAAAACACACTGAGGATGTTAATCCTCCTTCTCAGGTTCCTTACACTTACACAATTCCAACCACCTGTCCCCAGTAGCTGTATCCATATTCTGCAAGGTTTCAATGGCCCGTTGCCCATTAAACTTAAGATTTGAGGACTGTGCACCCGAAGTGCACCAAAGTTTATGCCACTCCACCCCTTGTTCTTTCTATTTCAGATAAATTGGTGGGTCATAACATATCAGATAAACAAATCTGTGCTTCAGCTAAAGGTGGGAACCTTGTATAAATACTTCCATTTCAAAAGACATTTTCATTGCAGATAGAACTTAAAGCGGTTCACTCTTTTACCCGGAAAGGCTTTTTAAAGAAAAAGAAAAGTAATGAAGAACCAAGACTGACCTTCCACAAGCGATGTCAGTAATGTTACATTTGCAGCTTTCCTTCTGCCAGCTGGAAGGTTCAAACCAATTTTGTCCAGTTTCTCCCTTAGTGATCGGCCACCGTTTTTAGATTTGGCCCTGTATGCAGGGAAAGAAAAGGGCTGGGTTTATTTAGCTGCATTTCTGAAGAGGTTGCGTTTCAAAGCAATTGGAAAATGGCAAGTTACTGACATTCATACAGTTCAGTTGGGAAGGGGAGATGACAAAACAAGCTCTGACCTACTTTTTCATGCTCTATCACACAGACATCAGAAAACAAGATCAAAAAGAAAGCAGGACCAGAGGAGAGGGTACACTTTGCCTTTACACCATCAAAATTATGACCAAATATAATGAAAAGTAAAACCTTGTATATGCATAGGGCATCAGATGAGCTTTTGTTGGGTGAGGGATGTTAACCAAGACTGTAATCCTAATCAGCCTGCCCCAACCTGGTGCCCTCTGGAAATACTAGGCATCGGGTAGCTGCAATCCAACCTTCCTGACAGGCACCAGGATAGGGCAGGCTGATGTGCAATCCATCAGAATGAATGGTGCCATTTAGGGAAAGGACAGAAACACACAGGCATACTTCCCTCCTCATCTCAGCCTGTTTTTCAGAAGCTATTACTGGCTGTTCCTCAAACACACCAACAGATGTTGAAGGTATTTTAAAAGGACAGCAACTGTGCACCCTCCTCCAGAGGAGAACAGCCCTCTGTAAGAAAGGAAGGCAGCCTTTCTTTAAAGAGCTGTCCAGTCCAAACTGCATCGCTAAGAGGAAGAACTAGCACAAGTTCCCATTAACAATTAGCACCTGACATCAGAAAGGGGAGGCACACGGACTCACCAGATGCTGAATATCCCCAGCATCATGTGAAGTACTGCATTTCTATTTAAATGATAGTGATTGTTCAAACTGGTGTCTGAACATTTCACTTAGCACATGCAAGCATTATGCAACCTTGTCCTCTTTCTGGTGATAGTTAAGTGGCTACCCTATTAAAAGTAGCCACACTCTTTAAATGCACTTGTGTGTTTTATTTTTAAATACATTGCAAGAACATTATGAACTTTGCTCAGAGTTCTCTCCCTGTAGAAATTCGGGTGACCAGCTCCTGTACTCTTAGCAATGGCTCAATGTGGAGATATTAACAGGCAATAATGTTAATTGCATTGCTGGTAAAATAAAAGGCACCTCAAATTTTGCACCGTAAAGGCATAGCAGCAGAGTAGGTCTTTTTTCCTGGCTACTTGGCACTCATAACAGACTCTTGAATAGTTACCCCGATTGGAAAAAAATAATAAAATCAGTGGACACATTTATTTATGTGAATGCCATTTAAATATTGTGCAGATATGGTTGAGCAAAGCAAACTGAACATAAATAACACAATCTGCACTTTTTTTTTTTTTTTTTTTGATTGAGAGGGAAAGCATCCTATTAACAGGAATAGAATGCATTTCTAGAGCTGTTACAGCACTTTTCAGTTCTGGAAATGCAAAGGGTGGCAAAGAGAAGAGAGAAAGTGTGAACACAATGCTTGGAAATAAACTCAATTAGGATGCAGTGATTGTATTTCTCTTTACAGATTTATTTTGTGTTCTCTCGACATACATGGTTTGAAGGACAAGAAAGGATTCACTTTCAGTTTGGCACAAGAAGGCCCGGTTACAGGGATGGTTTGGAGGCAGAGGGGAAGGGAAAAGGAAAAAACGAAGTACTGGCTCCTACCTTCTAAGAACCCCTCCCAGCAAAGAAGCGTTGAGGCATTCTGGGGGGGAGAGCCTTCTCTGAACCTCTGCTACTGTCACTTTATATTTAGATGTTGAACTGAGGAGAGAGAGCCTCCCAGGAACAGAGCAGAACACTTCGTTGGGATTGATCACTACCCCGATGAGTCCATCCTTCTGGCAAGGGAGACCTAATGCATTGTTTTTCGTTAATGAAATGGGACCTAGAGAACCAAGATATACAAAACAAGATGGAAACAAAAAAACGGATGGTGTTTCTCCCTCCTCTTAGGGAAGCCTACATCATTACAATTTAACAGATCTGTTTGCATGCCTTAAAAAAACCCGAAATTGACATTTTAAGATCTATAGAGTTCAACCCACTCTTGACAGAAATGCTCAGCTTTATTAATGCTACAAAAATGCACAGTTCATTGAACAACCAAAACACAACAAAAAACACAGCAAACAAGGGCTCTTTTTCCTTGCACTTACTGAAATGACATCCACACATTACAGAAATTAAATTCTAGGAAGAAAAGCAGTGGAACTTAACTGCTACCTGGACACACTTTGGAAGAAGTGAAGGGTTGGAAAGTTGAAGTCTAACCCCTTTTCCCCAACTTTTTTTCCTTTTTATCTTCTCCCACCCCGCCAGTCTGCTGGACTGTGCAACAGTAAAGTATTTAAACCCATACACCCAATACTTGAGGATTCTCAAAGCGGGTGGCACTAACAGGAGAGAATAGTTAAGTGGTTAACAAAAATCTCAGATCTGCAGTTTGCTGCAAAACATTTCTGTTTTTTCTCAGACACATTTTTCCCCTCCAAGTCACCCTAAGGTTTCAGACAAAACCCTCCTTTGACTTAGAGATGACATGCAAACTAGGGAGGGGAAAGCGAAGTCAACAAGGAACAAAACAATGTCATTTACCTTGCTTCCCCACCCTACCAGCAGCTTTATAAATGCCAGCAATTGAAGCTTTTCCATGTGGATCAATGCTAACCAAACTCCTTTCTCATCCATTCAGCAGCATCTAGTAGTTTAACTCATTTCTCTCTGCCTAGGAAGTCTGCCAACTATTTTACTTTGCATGAGCCCCTGTAAGAGTATGTACAGCTAAATTCCATCACTCTTTTAAAAAATTATTCATGGCAGTGGTGAAAAGTTCTCCTTCTCTCATACTGAAGGGACCCTACTAGAAGTAACACTGGGGTCCAAGCGAAAAATAAAATTTCCGCCTGAAGCAGTTCTTTTTCCTGATCAGTTTGCACAAATTAATTAAAATCATAAATACCCAACTTTTCTGTAGTATACTATCCTTCTGTAGAATTTGAGTTCAATACCTACTCTTCCTTAGATTAGTGGAATAACAGTTATTCTTCAGTTCCAGTCAGCTACCAAAACAGATTACTAAAGCACTATTTAAAATTATTTAAAAATAATTTTTCAGCTATATTGTATCTGCATTGCTAAACAGTCCTGGAAACAAAACTACATGGGATGCTTCCAGATGAAATGAAAAAAAGATCAAATATTAAAAGAGCATCTGCACTAATATTTGATTCTTGTCTTCTACGTCCATAGATAATTTCTTAATTGGAAAATGTCTTCAAACCAATGCAATTGTACAGGAATTTGCTCTGCTTGAAACAAAGTATAAATGTTTGCAGGGGCAGCAAGGGTTAACCAATTTGTAGGTTATAGATGAGAGACTATCTGTTCTGGTACAGTGATTAAGAATTGTTCTTGAGAAATTACAGTTCAAACTAGTTCAAATTTCCTAGCTGCACAAGAAAATTTAACAACCCATTTTAAATCCATTTTATTGGACCCAAATTGCATGCCTTGAATAAATAAGGCCTTTTTAGGCATTGGTATGCAAAACAAACACACACTAGTCAAATCCACAACCCACTTACTTTGGAGTAAATGGGTTGCGGAAGACAAGCCTCAGGCACACACGCCAACTCATGCAAAAGGGGGCTGGGGAGAACAACCCTCTTTTGTTTCCAAGAAACTTCCCTTAAAAAAGGTCACATAACAGGAAATCTTATTCCAAAACAATCTACCCCCAACTAAACCCATCATTTAGAAGTATAAAAATGCATTTTTTTAAAGCAAGCATAAAACAAACAGCAGAATGCGCACTTACTGACCTTTTCTAATGACTGTCTGGTCATGCATTAATAAATGCTGATCTTCCACATTCTGGAGAGAGAATGTGATTTTTTTTAGAACACAATTGTAGAATGAAATTTATGACCCTCCTCCCCATCCAAAAAGACAGATGCATACTTTATTATCTTTATCCTAATGGCTCCCACATAAACAAAAAAGCAGAGAACTACATTCCAGCTCCTGCCTACCTGAAACACCTAAGCTGCAAGGAAGAGCTTTTCTCTTTTGCAGTATGTTTCTACATGGCAGCAATCTGTGGTGACTATGCCTAAAACCTATTGAAAGCAATGGATTGACAGTAAAGCTGCAGTCCTAAAGCCTTTTTAGGGGGATAGCAAATCACACTGAAAGCTTTTGAACAACATATATTCAGTTCATGCCTTTGCTTACTCAGAACTAAGTCTAAGTCGGAAAGGGCTGTGAGAGTGTTTAGGATTGCAGCCCCCATACACTGCAGCCCCTACTTGCGGACACCACTGATTCTAGGAGGAACTTTGACACTACGAGCATTAGCTGAATTTCAGCCAGGGCATTTAAGTATCTGATTTATATCCCACCTTTTTCTACTAAAGAACTCAATGCAGCTTATGTCATTCTCCTCCTGTTCTCAATCTTATCACCACAACATCAACCCTGTGAGGTAAATTGGGCTGAGATCCTGTGACTGGTCCCACAAAGTCACCCAGTTGGCTCCATGGGACTAGAACCCAGAGCCCAAACAAAAGATCACACTGGCTCTCAGAGACCTAAGGATCGCTAAGCCAGTTCTCACTAATGCTGGAGGTGGAAGGGCATCCATGGGCTAATTTCTAGACTTCCCCACTCCTAGAATCCCATTAGGTAGGGAACTGCTCCTGCTACCAATGGCTGCCACAAAAGGAAAAAGGATGGAACCTAGTGCTAGCAGATGTGAAGGACTGCATTTAGCACTTCTGAGTTTCTGCAGAATTTTGCTGTCTAATTTCAGCAGCAAAATGCCTGTTTTATTTTTTATTTTTTTGCCGGTGTGCTGCTGAATTTCAGCATTGCACAGGCGGGATCAGGGATAGTGAGGGCCACGCTCCAGGGTATGGGGGATATTACTCATCCCTGCAGCGATACATTACAGGTCCAATAACCATAACCTAGGAGCACATTCCACAGAAATCACTAGGACTTATTTCTGAATGGGCATATATAGGGTCAATCTGTCCATATCCTAACAGCATGGCCTAACTGCAGCATACTGGATTAATAAGAAAAGAACATTGCAAAGTTCTTTAGGCCAAAGGTTTTTTTGGAGGGAAGGATCATATCGTAGCTTCTGTTGGGCAATGTCTGGTCTACATGGCGTCGCTCCTTGTCCTTCCAGAATTTAATTCCTTCCGATATTTTTTGTAATTAAAAATACTGACTGGGAGACTGGCACTCTGCAAAGTGAAATGTTATGCACCAGCACCATCTCTATTTAGGATCAAAAGAGTGGCTTGATGTTTTGGAGTCTGGGCCCTACCTCTACCTTAAACCTGGATTCTTGACAAGCGATTTCTTGGGTCACCCAGAAAATGAGCAACTGGCTATCAAATGAATCATGGAATGTCAATAAAGCAGCGGTTTTTGAGATGGACAAGACAAGGCAGCCATTTTCTATGACCAGCCATGATACTTGTCCAAACATTCAAGTGGATCCACCAGCCTAAAGGGGTTGGGGATCCTTGGTCTGAATGGCTTCTCAATGGCATGGATAAGGTGGCTAATTTTGGAGGCCGATGTGCTGAATGGAACTATAATGGAACCAATATAATTGAATGGTCAGAAGGATGTCATACAGTTTTAGCCTATGGAAGTGTGGTGCATCTGCTGTATCTGTCTCAGGAACTTTTGATTGATAATGGAGAAGAGGGAAGCTTTGTTTCCTTTTTTTCTCGAAGGCTAAGGCTGCAATCCTAGGCACAATTACTTAAGGGTAGCCCCTATTAAACTTGGTAGAACTTGCAGACGTGTAAATTGTATTCCACAAATATCGCCAAGGCAGTTGTCATTAAGTGAAACACTCTTCCATCAGCAGTGTTGGAAAAACACAGACTTTCCGTGTTAGGTTGTTCCAAAGATTATTCAAAGGCATGTGGCTTGCTTTACTCTTAAGCAGAATAGCAACCCAGTTGCCACTCCAGATGTTTTAGATCACAACTCCCATCAGCCCTAGCCAGCAGAGGCAACTATCAGGGTTATGGAAGCTGTAGTCCAAAAAGCTACCTCTGCAGTGGAAAATATGCAGGTTATACAATGAACCTTGATGGTCTGACAGATACCTGGCAATCCAGTGTCATTCAAACCACCCTATGCATGCTAAATAATGTTGCGAAGTTCATGGAGCAATGCATCTGGTGTATGGTCCTTCTCCATGGGAATTGGGTCCATGGAAGTGTGGCATCCTGCCACATGCCCTCTGTGCTCCTAAGAAACTAGGAAGGTCATAGGCTGATCTTGGGCCGCTCACTTCTCCCAGTCTAACCTACCTCCTTCATAGCCCCATGTTCCCTGGAGGAAAGGGAGGCTATGCATTTGATAAATAAATAGAAGGACCAGTCCTTAGTTTCTAGATTTTTCTTTATTTGTTCATTATTACTTTTATATCCCAACCTTTTCCTCTTGCAAAGGACACAAGGCAGTTTACACAGTGCTTCTCTGCTCCACTTTAACTTCACAACAACCCCGCAAGGTAGGTTAGGCTGAGAATCAGTGATTGGCCCAAAACCATGGCCTCAGGAGAACTTTATCTGATGCCAAATCCCAGTGCAGCATTCTAACCATTATGCCAGACTGGTTCTCTTTTGGAGATGCTCATTTTACAGGAGACACCTGCCACAACACCTCAAAATGCAGTTGCTTTGATGAAGCAACCCAGCTCCTCCATTATGCTAAGGGATGCCAAGGGATGCCAAGACATCCCCCCTCACCCCTTCCAACCCTGATCCCAGCATCTTTACCTGCACCTCTTCCATCTGATGGGCCATGTCATGAAGTCCAAGGTTTTCTGCCAGGCTGGAGGCATCAAGGCCGTGTCCATGGGGCAGGAGCAGCTCAGATCTCCTGTAGGTTTCCCTTCTCACCCCAGCAGAGCCACTCTCCAGAGCTGGGAGATGGGGAACCAGGCCAGACCGGGCATGGTGGGACAAACTGGAAGGATCTTGGCTGGTTTGCCGGCTGGGCCAGCTGGTTTGCTGCTGGCTGGGAGGCGGTGGTGGCTGATGGAGGGAGTTGATGGAAAAAGGATCCCCAAGATGTGAATAAGGATCATTGGACTGGGAGTAAGGCAGAGGCTGGTAAGGGGGTGGAAAGTAAGGGGGCTGGAAATCTGAGGCCCCTGAGTGGGAAAGGGGTGGTGCAGGGCTGTACAAATGCTGGCTCACGGCGGAGAGGTGGGGCAATCTAGGGTTTCCATTGCTGCTGCCATCATGCCGGTCCTGAGGGAAGAAAGAGACACTAGATCAGTGCAAGAGCTTCGAGAGGCTGGATCAAGAGGAGAGCAAAGGTGGGGCTGGAGGGGGAGCAGGTGGGCAGCTCAACACACCTGCATCCTGAACTAAAAGCATAAGCTGGAAGAAAATTCCATTGCAATTAATGAGTCTTGTCAGCACATTCTGCGGCAGTTGCAAGGCAAGGAAGGTCCAAATTCACAGAGTGAAACTACCATGAGATCATTTTTGGGCACAATCCTCAATTCTAATCTTCCATTGGCTCCACTGATGACACACTTAAGTTCTCTGATGCCATTATTAATCTGAAATGTTGCATTTTAGAACTTTGATCGGTTCTTTCCAAGTAATTCCTGTGCCCTAAAATAAAAGTATCTGTTCTGGAGTGTACACTTTGATCCTGCTTAGGGTGGTGATTAAATTGTACTGGAATTAGGCATTCGTTAAATGTTACATTGGAATTGCAACTTTACTTTCTAATCTTTACATTGCTCTGGAGTATGCACTGAACAAGAAGGGTCTTATTGTCAAGCAGTATTTATGAAACCATTTGATTTTTTTAAAGAGCTCTGACATCTCATTTAAAAATGTAATTCTACTGAAAACATGGTCTCTAATGCTAACCAGAATCACAGGTGCTAAACCCAGATACTTTTACAAAATTAGTTTGTAACAGCCATTTGAGGACATGCTTGGGGTGGAGAGAACACATACAGACTAACTTGACATACATTCAAACCTGGATAAATTTACTCAGAAGTGCTACTGAGGCTCATAAGCATATGTAGAACAGCATTTTATTTTGGTGTTCTTAAAAATATTTTGCGCACACACTAAACGAAAGTTCCTTTCCACAGAAGTATCTTTCATTATATTTCCAAGTTTCTTTTTCCAACAAAGTACTCAGTATTGCAGTGTTCCTATTCACTTTTTCTCTCCACTTTTTAATTAAAAAATCAATTTTGTTTAACATTGTGGAAAGAAGAAAAATCAGGCCCCTTTTTCAAGTTGTTGTAAAAGTTATTTTGACATTTGGAAAGACTCTGTCGCTAACAGGATCGTGTTAGAACGGCTGCACCCTAGTCAATTCCCCCCTTTATTTTTGTTGGTACTCCAAGGGTCTTGCCAAAACTTTTAACACTCCCGTCTCCATCCTTGAGTGAAATCATTGTCAGGGGCACCTGCTAAGGGAGGAAAGGAGCTATTAAAATGTCCTGCAAGAAAACCCCCAGCTTTTTGCAGTATTTAGTATTTGAATAACACAATGTTGAAGTTTGGCAAAAATAAGATTTAAAACAGAACACAACAAAATAAAAATCTTGCTTGGATCGCTAGGAGTCGTTCCAAATAGCCATTTATGGTCTTATGGTCCAATTAAATGCAAATTCGGAAAAGTGTAAGCGTGCAGAGGAGGTCGAAGTCGCAGGGACGACCCCGGAGGCTGAGCCAACTTCTCCTGCTCGCGTTAAAATAACAGGCAGGTTAAATGAAGGCGAAAGAAGGGGGCCCGAGAGGGGACCCCGCTGGAGCGAGAAGCGGCGGCAGCTTCCTCGCGAGTAAGAGGTGGGACCCAGCGACGCCGCGGCTCGACGGGCCGCCGCGTCGGAAGCGGCACAACCCCGAACGGGGCAGGCGAAGCGGAGTCAAACCTGAACGCCACTTCTCCAGGCCCGATTCTCTGACTCAGAAGGAAGCTCCACGCCAAGCCATTCGGGGCTCGTCTACTCAGAAGCAAGCTCTCTTCTTGCATTTCCTCCTACTTCCTTCATGATTCCGACTCTCTGCCCTTCGGGGGCTCAGTTCCGCGGAAAGGGTGCCGGGGCCCCGCAGGGACTCCACGCTGCTTCTCCCCGCCAGCCAGACATCTCCCATTTCCCAAGGACGGGTCCCGCTTGCGGGTTTTTCGGTGCAGGGGTCATCTGCACGCACGCCTTTGCTCAAGGCACCTCAGCGATTCTAGGATCAAACCTCTCCTCCGATGCGCGTTCACTTGGACGCAATTCTCCGCTGGGTTCTCTGCTGCTTACGACTCCGGCTCCACATTTACCTGGGAGTAAACCCCGTCCGACCCGATAGGGCTTAACTGTTTAGACATAGGCTTGACTTAAAAATGGAGTTCCGCAAAACAAACAAAAACCCCCTGCCACGAGTGCGGGGTTGGGGACGCACACATGAACCCTGGCAATTAAGCACTAATCCAAACAAACTTTCCCCAATAATTTTTATTAATGAACCTTTCTTCTCTCGCTGGGCTGTGATCCTCTGCCCTTCACTTGTGGGGTCCATTGGCGAAGAACCCCGTTTAAACTTGCGCTACCCATCTAATCGATACGAGTTCCAATTTCTGAACGCCCCGGAAATTGGACCAGACTCCTAGAAGATGGACTCTTGGTCCATTTCAATCCAGGAGACGAAGATCCATTTTCGTTGCCTTCCCACGTCACACGGACACCCTTGCGCCCTCTCCCTTCCCTTCCACAGTCCCAGCCCAGGTATTCCTCAAGAAAAGTCTATCTAGGATTCGGAGAAACTCCACAGCCTGGAACAGCGTGCCCGAGGCAGGAAATCCTACGGCCACTTAACTAGCAGTAAACCCAATTGAGCTGCAAGCAGTTTTATTTCCAACGAAACCTCAGATAGGGTAGGGCTGTGCACACCTTTCGGAGCCCTGCCATTGCTGGAATTGAACCGTAAAGTCCTACGGCTGCAACCCGGTTTACTGGGGAGGGGGAGGCATCGGGACAAGAGGCCTTATTTACAGGTAATCGGGCTGAAATCCCCGTCATTCTTCCAAGAAACAAAGCATCACGCCAAGCGTGGAGGAAGATACATTTTCCAGTAAATATGCTTAGCGGAGTCGCTGCACAATCTAACCCGTCCGTCGCTGGTTTGTGAATCGCAACCGCTCCATAAGCTCCGCTCCTGCCTGTCCGAGACGGGACGACTGAGATTGCAGCAGCCCGCTGAACTGTCGGGGTTCCCCCAAAAAGAAGAGCGCAATGCAAGGAGGGGCGGCGCAGCCCAAGAGACCACCCAGAGTACGGTTTATTCCGACCCCAGGGCAGCAGCCGCCTGGTCTGCGTGGGGAGTGGGCGCGGGAAGCTCCCGCTCCGATGCCGGCTCCTCGGGAAGCGACGGGCCCTGCAGCCATTCCCGGCCAGCAGCCCCAGGCTGCGGCTCCTGAAGAAGCGGACCAAGGAGCCCTCGTGCCCCGGGAGGGCCGACTACCGCGCCGCTCTTCCACGCACAAGGGCTGAGGAGGATCGGGGAGTCCCTTTAAGCGCGCGCACAGCCGGCCCGTTGGGGGCAAAGCGAGCAGCCGAGGCAGCGGGCGCCGGGGCAGGTTAGGGGGCGCCGCGTCGCGCCGCGCCCCTCCCCGGCTCCCCTTCGTCCTCCTCTCGCGAGGGCTCCTTGCATCGCACAAGTTTAGGAGCTGCGGCACAAGCGGGGGAAGCGAGCGGCCGCCCAGCGTCCCTCGGCCACGCGCTTCCCGGCTCCAGCGAAGGGCGAGCGGCGCCGCCCCGCCAAGGTGCCGAACCGCCGCGGCGCTTCCAGGCCGCCCGGGCCGCTTGCGGGGCGCGGGCGGGCGTCTCCCGCGGGAACCGACTCGCGGAGCTGCCTCGGGCGCCGGTGCCCTTTCGGTGCCCAGGAGCGCCCGCTTCCTGCCAGTCCTGGCCGGGGCCTCTCGCCGGCCCGCCCGCCTCCCGGCCTCCCCGCATGGCAGACGCGCGAGTCCTCCCTCCCTCCCTCCCTCGCTCGCTCGCTGCCAGCGGAACCAGTCCGACAGGCCGGATCACTCGCTCCGCGGAGTTCAGTTCGCCGGCGCGGCTCTTCCTCTCCCCCCCACGGCCTCTGCCCAGCCCGTGGGCGGACTTCAGACGAGGCGTGCGCGCACGCTGCAGGAAAGACGGTGCTTCGCTCTCCCCCGGGGACGAAAGCGCAAGCGGCCGCTGCCCCCGAGGGGACCACTGCGTTCCTCCCCTCCCGGGCAAAACCAAGCCCCATCGCTTCTCTTTAAACCGGCAGGGAGGCAGGGGGATTAGACCGAGGGGAGGGGAGGGGAGAGGGGCTCGATGGAGCGGGAGCGCATCTATCCTCAATGGAGTTACCGCGGTGGTGAGAAATAGGATAGCCGCACAGCCAAGGGAGTGAATGCCACGCATTCGTGCTCATGTCTACTCAGAAGTAAACCACGCTGGGTTGCATGATCGCCACTTACTCCCAGGTACGGGGAATTTAGGCCTGCAGGGCCCGAGGCGGCGTTCCTGGAGAGCCCTCGGGGGAAAAGCAAGACTGAAGCGTGCGGTTTCACTTACCATTGCGCGGTTCCACGTGCACGGAACTGCACTCGCTCCGGGGGCAACTCCAGACCTGTGTCTATGGGGGAAAGAGTCGCCCGGCTGCCAGCACCGGCTGAGGAGCGCTGGGAGCTGGGCGACTTTTTCCCGTCTCAACATGAATAGGTCCTCGAGGTGCCACACACGCCTTCCCGCCAGCGGGCGGGGGGGGGGGTTCAGGTACTGTATCAACCAGGCAGAGGGGTTTTTCGGCCACAGTGACATCCCACTGATACTGATGCATGCAGGAGCTGCACCGAGCAGCTGCCTCCGATGCCAGTCTCACTGAAGTCCCATTCACTTCAATGGCGGCACTCGAAGCAGGGCTATCACTACAGACAGCCCATTCATTAGCTCACAACATACAAGACAAGCAGGAGAAGGGATCGCGCCCAAAGCAGCTCATTTGGTATATTCCTATAGGAAGTGTCTGTCTTTTGTCAACAGTTACAGGGGAGTAACCGGGCCGTTTCTGTACAGCTGCTCTGGAGTGAGCTTTCTTAAAAAATGTATGGCATATTACTCCAGAAGGCACTTTGGATTGATTTCAGCCCAGGCTTGGTTACTCAGAAGCAAGTCTCATAGAAAGAAAAGCGACTTATTAAGTGCAAATAAAAATGTAGCCGAAGTAACCCCATTCGGTCTTACGTCTTCCCCAGTATCATGGCATTTCTCAGCTTTTATCGAGAAAGCCACAGGATTTTTAAGTCGCTGGGCATTATTGTTGCGAGTTGTCACGGCCGAATACCCGAAACCCGTCCAAAATGAAGTAGTATCCAGAGACTAAAATCTTATAGAAGCAGGAGAGAAAATCGAGGGAACTTGCATCACCTCTCAGTTCGATTCACACATTAGTTTAAAAGCAGAATTTAGGCGATTTTTGAACTAGCCCAATCTCTCTTGTTACAATGCTTGCATTTCAGACCACGTTCTTGAGCCAACTAGTTTTAATAGAATCCTATAGCACTTATGTAGGTCTACGCCTCGTTACCACTCAGTGGGACTTCCGAGTAGCTCTTTCGGGGATTGCACAGTTAAGGCGTTCACTTAACTGAACGGTGACCCAATCAGTTAAGTTGATTAGCTTACGCCTCATTAGGACTAGCGCCTTATTCTAGTTTATGAGGAAATCAAGCCACATCGATCTCAAGGGAAAGCGTGCCTGGGAGACAGGTTTGTGGTCAGAAGAGCGCTGAATTTCGCATTTTCGCAGGCTAGAGTCTGATACAGGCTTACAGCCCAGGGCGTCTACGAGCGCGCTCCCATCCCGCCTCTCTACCCAAGCAAGCAGCGGCAAGACCCAGCCTCGCGTGAGAACCAGCCGCAGCCGAAGCGCTCACCTCACAGTCCTCTTCGTACTTGACGTTGTCTGCTAGTTTCCACAACATGGCGTCCAGTCTCCCCCACAAAAAAAATCAAAAATTAAAACCAGGAAGGGAAAGGGGGCGGGGGGACAGGCTCCAGCCCAAAGTGCGGTAAATCCAAGGACAGCGCTGGGAAAAAGTCGCTCTCCCCGCAACCTTCAGAGAGCCACTTCAAAGGGCAGGCAGAGGAGCAGAGACAACTTCTTCCCGGGAAAGTAACCACTGGGATGCTTTTCCCTCCCCAGCCTGCCTTAATGGCAATCTCATTAGCATAGCTCCTCCCCAGGGACGGGCCGGGACGTGCGGGCTTCCCTTGGCGGGCGGTGCAAAAGCGGCCAATCGGAGGAGCCCCGGCAAGCCACGCCTCCCCGGCGCGTTGCCCGGGCGCACACGCGCGCGCCTGGGAAAGCGCCAGCCTGCCCAAAGGCAGCGCACGCATGGCTGGCAGCGGGGCGGGGAAAGGGCCAAGCGTCCGCGCGGGCGCGCGCGGGCGCGCATGCACGCGGGCGGGCGGCGCGCCTCGAGCTGCGCTGCACACTTAGCGCTGGACCCCGGCCGCCCGGCGCCCGGGCGAGTTAACCCGTTGGTGGCCGCGGAGGGAGAGAGGGAGGCCGCGCGATCGCGCCTCCCTCGAAGTCCACCCGCGGGCAAGAGCGAGCGCGGCAGGGCGGCCCAGCGCCCAGGACCACGCCAAGGGGAGAACGGAGCCGTGCCCGCACCCCGCTGCAGCCAAGCGCTGGGGCAGCTCCGTCCAGCTCACGCGCACAGGAGGGCATCGCCGCGGCTGCTTTCCAGGGTAAAGCCACTAAAGCACAAACTGTCCAGGGCACGCGTAATTCAGTGACTGCCGCTTTCCTAGTCCTGCGCGTTCGGCTTCTCTTTTAAGACAGAGAGAGAGAGGAAGGCCTGAGCCTAATTTTCGGGAATGTGGTCTAGGAACGGCTGACATTTTAATCCCAGGATAACAGCGATTTTGCTGCCCGATCTCGTGCAGTTAGGCCGCCTGCGTTTACTCGAGTGTAAAAGCCCTGCTTTTCACCGGGGCTTATACCTCGTTAACTACGCATAAGATTGCAGCTTCGGGGCTGTGTGTCCAAACACCGCTAAGAGTACCTTAAAGACCGACAGCTCTGTCAGTGACAGGACCATTTTTCCCCCGGAACCAAGACTGCGCGATTGTTCTTGGGATCCAATACTCAGCGCCGTCTCTCTCTTGCAAATACGCGTAAGAATGGCTTTGCAAACAAAGCGGACGTCTTAAGCCGAAACGCATCGACTAGGAAAAAAACCCTCTATTCCAAAGCCTTCAAATTATTTATTTTTTGACACATTTCCATAGGAATAAGCGCCCCCCCCCGAACTCTTCACTCGCGACCCCATTGGATTGCATGAATGAGATGATGTAAGCACGTTTAATTCCAAGGGGGGCAGACCCGTCGCGCAAACCCAAAGAGATCTGGAGATAGCACCTTGCGAGATCACAGACCTGTAGTCACACAAAACCGTCGCGGACGAAAATGTACCTCACGGTACACCTGAAAGTGTTTAGAACGCTACAAGATTTTTTTGGGCTGCAATCGTTGGAAATAAGCCCCATTCAACACGATGGGACTTACTTCAAAGTAGACCTTTCCAGGATCTCATTGCCTAACCGCCCACCCCCACCCCCACCCCCACCCCCACCCCCACACCCCCGAAAGCCACACACACAACTGAATTTTACACAAGCGTAGACTGAAGCGAGTGCAATCGCTCCCCGAGCTTTACGGGCCTCCACCCAGCAATTTTGGCGTGGGTTGATTAGGTGGCGAAATTGATTTAGCATAATAATAAACATCAAGAAGTTCAGATTGCTAGCGAACAAAAGTCTCTAAAGTTTCGTTTGCGTCCACACCCTTCTCCGGATCCGCCACAGCTTTATGGAGAAAGCGATAGGGTAAAATACTGATAACAAAATGTATTCCTTTTTAAATAAACGTGTCCCACAGTGATGGATAAAAACCAAACGCGCCTTAACATTCAGTAATCCACTAAGCAGACGCACAGAATCTAATGCGTCTTCTAATTCCCCAGCCGCAGAAATACCTGGGGTGACAGCGGAAAAACCCGTTGATTTTAAAAGGCGTTCTTTAATCATCCAGTTGAAATCAAGGGGACCATCATTCTGTCCACCGCGGGCAGAAAATGACTTTCTGGCAACAGAGGGAAGCTCCTTTCCACCACGCCATCACTTTACCTTCACTCGGTTTCGCTCAAGCACAAGTTGAAGCGCCTCCTTCCAGGATGGAGGGACGATTTGTCATATAGACTTTACCAGCTCAAGGCAGCCTGGAAACAGTGAAGGTCTACGAGATAAAGGCTGCAGCTCTTGCGGAGAGCTTCAGGTGGGAATAAGCGCTCTGAAACTCAATGGGACTCATTTTCCAGTAACCCAAAATAAAAGCTGCCTTCCATTTCTTGGGCCACTAATAGGGAATGTGTTCAGATTTATGCATTTTGAATTGCACGCTGCTTTTCTGGAGCAGCTAGCATTCCAGGTGGATTATTAAATAGCAAAAGAATGACAGGTTTTATTTTGCTTTTGACATCTAGGAGTTTTCCCTTCATTCATGTCCTCTTCTCAGAGGCCAAGACTTTTAAACAAGACCCCCTCCCCAAACTCAATGGAGCACTGTGTTCAGAATCCACGTGTTCGCTGCCCTGTATTGTCATTCCTCTCCTTCCGTTTCAATGACTTCTTCGCAGATGCACAATGACAATATAAAACACACCTGATTCTAAGCACACTGAGTTAGAAACAACTCCCACTGAAATGAGCGAAGCTCGATTATGAGAGAAAACGGCTGGAATCGGGCTGCAATCACACGTCCTGTGAGAGAAGTCCAGCAGAACGAGTTCTTTCCAAGTTGTACATATCAAAACTGCTGTCTTGCATAAACACTACGGGAGAAGTCAGCCTCATTAAATTTGAAGGAGCTTATTTCTGAGTAGACATCCACAACTTTAAAGTCAGATTTGGATTTGCTTGGGGGAGGGGGTCGAAAACTTCAGAGGGCATGTATTTAAGCATTTTTAACGCTTCTGTCAGCACCTGGAAGAAATTTAGAGTAATCCAAAATCTAAGTTCACATTGCTTAGCTTTCCCAGATCGAGCATCGAACACTTTTTTGAAACAAAACAGTGCTTTAGACATGGATTTTTCTCAAGTCAGTTTCCTGCATTTCTAGCGTGATTTTATGTGTTTGCTTGGAAGTACATTCCATTGTGTTCAATGGGCTTTCTTTCCGAATGTTTAGGACTGTAGACTTAAAAGGGGTTTGGCTTCTACTGTATTCCTGTACACAACTGCCTGGGAGCCAGTCCCACTGAACCAAAAGGACCTCATTTTGAAGAGGGATACATAAGACATCATGGCACTTTACTCTGCTTCCTGTCTTTTCTTGCTTAGATGCTGCTCTCTTTTGGGCTCAGGTAAAGAGAAAAATGAGGAATTTATGGGGGTGTTCTCAGGTGGGGTACAGAGCTCCTGGAAGTGCCTGACTTTTCCCCAAAAAGAAAGTGTTTCTTTCAGAAAAGGTGGCTTTGGTTTTGTTGTCTTAGACCTTCACGTGGAAGCCTCCTAGTGGAAACTCTGGAACAAAACTGATGGATTTATTGTTGTCACTATAAGCAAAAGGTAAATGGGAATCTACCAGAACTTCAGATGTCACTCGCAACAGATTATCAAGGATTTCTGGTAAAATATGTCCCCCACCTCTCCCTTCCCCTTAAAATTAGGCTGATGAAAAAATATGCTTGGAGACAAACCAGGAGTCCTTTAGAAGAACGAGCAGGCTTGGTTCTGGTTCTGATCACAAAACTCTTCATCTTAGGAGCACCAGCTCCCTTAATTCCTAGCACCCACATCACTATTTTGCACCTGGCTCTGGCTGGTGATCACAAGGGATCTGGTTAAAGTGACAGATAAACAAAAGAAGAATGAAAATGTCAAAAATAAAAATATCCAGTGAAGCCTTAAGTCTGCCTGCCTCCGGTCGGTGGAATGATATGCCTCGAGCCCTATGTGGAAGTGGTCCAGGAGAACTTTAGCCAAATGTTGGTGGTAATAGCTCCCCCTATAGGTCACACTTTGAAACTGACCAGGTGAAAATCCCAACAAGGATGTCACTAGGAGGAGAAGAAAGGAGGAGAGAATGCTAATCACTGAGCCATTATCTTTATCTGTCAATCTGGCACGCAGGTACTGAATCACAGCCTGGAATGGGGCCCAGGAGGGGCAAAAGAATCTGCATTTACTACAAAAAGGTGAGGTTTATCTCCACTTCTCTCTCTCTCTCTCTCTCTCTAGCACTTGGCGTCTTTAAGACCAGGCATTTCAATAAGAAAAGACTCAGTTCACCTTTACAGTTCCCCTGTGAGTGACAAACCTTAATTTCTCTCTCTTCAAATGTCACTAGTTTTAGGTCAAATTAAATCATGCTTGTAGAAAAGCCTACACTGAGAAAGGGCAAAACCTGAAAAGAGGCAACTTAATGCAGTAGAGTAAAATTATGGTTGCCCCTTATTTAGAGGACATTTCCATAATCTGGACATTTCAGATTCTTCGGAAACAGGCAGATAAAATATCAACCATCCATCCTTGTTGACATTTTAAGCTTCAAGTTTCTGATTAAAATTGAATGTTTAAAATACTAGAATGAGTCTCCTTAAAACATTCAAAGGAAATTAACCCCCACTTTTTAAAATTGACTTGAATTATATTCCCTTCATCACATATGAAACATCTCAAGCAAGGTTGGTACCCCAAGTAGAGAAGTAACTGAGAAGTAACTCCAATTGAAAGTAAAATACACTGGCATACAACTTATTTTCATGAGTTGCCTTGGGTTAACAATGAAGATGTTCTCTTTGTCAAAAGCAAAAAATATTAAAGATGTATATGCATAAAGCCAAGGTACCATACACTATCTAAAAATGAAAATCACTGGGAATGATTCCCCACAGTAAATGGATTTAGAATCAGTCTTACATTTCTGGGGCTTCCTGCCCTTTATTGACAGAGTGACCAGGCAGAAC